CTTGTATTGTTTTTCAATAATAGAAGTAAGAGGAATCATTAATTTACCCTTACTAAAGGCCTTTATATATATTTCCTGGCCGAGAATAAGAGATCTAAAGGCTTTACTCCTTTTCTGGGCCGAACTTAATAAAATTAGTAAATAATATATTAATATTAGGAATTAAATAAACGGATATATACTTTTGCCCTAAGCTTCCTAATAAAAATTACTATATAATTGCTCTAAATATTCGAGTTTAGCCTGCTGCCTTCTCTTACGTACTTCTGCCTTAAGGACCTCTTTTAAGAGATCTATATCCGGGGGATAATAAAAAGAATAGGAATTAGCTAAGATATTAATTCCTTAATCTCTTAATAATTAGGTAATAGTATTTTGAAGTTAGGTTTAACTAGAAAATAATATACTGTCTAATATAATAATTAATATAGGAGTAATAGGAGTCGGAGGAAAAGTAGTAGGGTTAATTATATCGCATAATAAATACTTTATTATAAAGGGGGGATATAGTACCTTTTATATAAAATAAGAGTTCTATAGATTAATATTATCTATTATAAATATTTAGGAATAAAAGAATAAGAATTTAATTTATATCGAATATTAGAAGGAAAGTATAGCTAATAAATCTAGTAGTTTAGTAAATAGTAATATAAAGATAATTAGTAAAATAGAACTATAATATATTAATATTATTTTAATTCTTTAGCCTATATTCCTATAACTTTTTCCTTTAATAATTTATATACTAGGGACCTATTTTGAAGATTATTAATAATAGTATATTACTAATATATAAAAAGAAATAAATACAAGAACTATAAGGAATATCCCTTAGTATAAATTAAAATTGGATTTATTTTATTTATCCCTAGTATTATTATTATTTAAAACATGGTTTCCTATACTAGGGGCTATAGAATATTAAGTAAGGAGTTATAGGAATTAAAGAAGAAAAATTAAATTCTATATATAAAGAGATATTTTTACTAAATATATCTTGTAATTACTTCAAAAGTTCTCAAGAACTATTAATTTAATAAAGCTAGTATTAATAAAGAATTTGATTCATATTATAGAATTCTTATTACTAAAATAATAAGTTAATAATATAATTATAGGAGATATAAAAAATAAAGAAGTAAAGGTCGATTTTTTAAGAAGGTAAATTATATAACCTTTTAATATTAAACTACCTGTAACTATATAAATTTGACTTATTAAGCAAACTATTATTAACTTCTATATTTAATTACTTTAGCAAATATTAATATTTTTAGCTAGTTCTTTCTTTAGGATATATATTAATATGTCTCCGTTTAGCTTCTCTATTACTGGATAAACTATCTAATATTTATAGGAGGAATTTCTAGATTATCCTCCTTCTCTGCTTTAGGCTCAGATACGTATTCATTATTTATAAACTGCCTATACTCTTAACTATTTATAACCTAATTACTATTTGCCCTATTAAAAGTAATACTATCTATAATAAATCTAGTATCCTCTATATTATTTTCAACCTCCGCTTTATTATTAGAGCTAATATAAATAAGATCTTTATCTCTATAGCTAGTATCTCTCCCTTTATTAACGAACTAAATACCATTTTAATTATTATAATCCTTTAGCCTTGCCTCTTCTAGTTCTATAGCTACCTCTAGTAATAGATTCCAATTATATATACCCTTGGATATTAATAAAAGCCCTAGCTTTGGACGAGTATTCTTCGTATTAATTAGGTAGTTAGTAATTAATTCCCTTAAATATATATAGGCACTCAGGTAATTCAGATCTCTATTCGAGTTATATATAGACTCTATAATTAGGAGAATAAAGCCGGTATCCTTAAGCTCTTACTTATACTACTCAAGTATAACCTCCGGTAAATATACGTCTTTATTATAGCTAGTATATCCTTTATATAGCTTGTTTAATTTATTAATATTAATAGAAATTCCATAGTCCCTGACTCCTATTTACTCTGAAAATATATAGTTCTGGAAAGATTAATTAGGAATAATATATAGATAATTAGGCTATTTCCTAATTAAATAGATATTCTATACCCGAATAAACTCCTTAATTTACTCTCGTATAATAGGCAAATAGACAAAAAGCATAGCTATATAATCGGGGAGAAGCTTGCAAGAATAAAGCCTTTAAGAGTATAGTTACTTAAAAAATATCTTCTATTTATTTAGTATACCCTATATAATATTAGCTAATTAAATAAGTCTATATAGAATTAGTATAAATAAATTACCTTTGTAATTTATTCCTACTATACCTTAATATATTAATTAGTTATACTAGTCCCGAACTAATAGAGATCTAAAAACTAATATGAATTAATATCCCTTATCTAATACGTTGCTTTATAGAGAATATAATAGGTATCTATAACTATAGGCATTTCGCACCCTCTATCCAATTAAATATAGAGTGAAATAACCTCTATTTCGTCTACTAAATCAAGGTATTAAACTAGGATAGTAACCTAGAAAGTAATATAAGTAAGTATATATTAGTATAATATTAATCAGGCCAAAAAAATAATATAATATAAAGATTCAGGGGTTTTATTACCTAAATTAAGTATAATTCAAATAACTAGTTCTCTATAATACTACAGAATTATATAGCCGGGATTATAACTAAGTGAATATTGGCATTTTCAAGGGAATATATCCGTACCAAATTAGGAAATACTACTACTTATAATACAGCTATTTGAGATTCTAATATAAATCCAAGGTATAAACTATAAGTAGGTATTAATACCGGTATATATCTCAATTCCACAAAATCATAGCTAAGTAAACGGATTAGTAGTTATTAAAATAATGATTTTTAAAGTTAAGTATATATTATACTTACCTTATAATAGCTATTAATAGACTAAACAAAGTTTGGCCTATAAATATTATATTCTCCCCTAGCTGCCTTTATCTCTTCCCAGTAATATTATATGCTTTCTGGATTAAGTTCCTGTATTATAGAAGCTATTCTATTCCTAGAAAACTTCTAGCTATCTCCTAGGGAGTTAAGATAAGTATATAGAAGCCGGTAGCCATAACTTCTAGTATTATCTTATAGGCCTTTATTAATTATATATTACTTGAGAATATAGTATAATTACTTCTTTTCTAGCTCAATATACGAATTAAGCATTCGATATCGAAGGCCCATAGCTTAGCAAGCATGTTATAATAGTCGTAAATTAGGAATATTATATCCTAAGCTCTGGAGGTTGGCAAGTATATTAGTATTAGTTATATGAATATTATAAAAGAACCAGGCAATAAGAGTCTTTATCTGAGGAGAAGGCTTAAATATCAAATACTAGGAAGGTGCTTTCTAATCGGAAAGCCTATTACGTAAAGTTCTAGGGGAAATATTAATATTAAAGTCGTGCTTTAGCCTCTCTATAATCTCGTTATATAATAATTATTACCTAATTAAATAAAGGATATGGGCTTAATAATAGTCAATATTAATCCTTAAATAAGGCATTATAAAGAGATTAATAATAAAAGATTAAGGAATTAAAGATAATAATAAAGGAACAGAAATATGAAAGAAGTATGCCAGTAGCCTAGTAGTCACAAGGGGGCATGTCACGTGTATTTTATTAATTTTCCCACCCTATTACATTCCCACCATAGAATGCGATAAAATACCATATAGATCGACTGTTTTAATTATATTCTACTATAGGAATTACTTAGATTATTAATAATCTCATATTTTTAAAATATCGCAATTTTGATTTTGCGAAAAAAATAATAGATGCCGTAGCGTCCTTAAAGGAGCCCGTAATATCGCTTCAAACCGGCCTGAAAACACAGACTTATGCCAGTTGTCTCGTTACTCGCGTCAGACTCTGTGGGGAGGTTCTCCCACTCGAAGAGGAGATGGAGGTAGGATAATTCATTGAAGATGAATATGTGAATGCTGCCTCCGATTATAGAGTCGTCCCAACGGCCTGTCAATTTGCCATTAGCAAAATCCGACGGGCTTTTTTTTTGTTTTTTGTTTTTTTTGTCCATTAATAGTCTGACTTGACGTCGCGCTAAAGGGGCCCTTCCCTTTAGTCGGGGAAAGCGAGTTGTCCCGAGAAAGCGAGATGTCCCGCACTAAATAAAATCTTGAATAACTTGAAACTTTAATCTTTTTAAATAATTCTAAGTAATAGAATTAAAAATATAAGCCTTATAAACTAGATACGATTCTCTAAATCTTAAAAAAAGATATAAGTAGAGAGTTATTAAAGTTTTAATAATTAAATCGCGAGAAATACAAAAATCGTAAGAATTATTTATTTGCGACCGCTTCGCGAGTATTATATCTACGACTTTTGCTTAATTATAAATTTTTATTCTTTTTCTTAAAACTTTAGCCCTTAAGTATGCAATAGGTAACTATGAGATCGCGAATAAAACGTATTAATTAGATTTCCTATAGCTAGTTCCTAATATCGTTTTTTTAGAAGGTAAAAAAGGCCGAAACGGGACATCTCGCTTTCCCCGACTGGATGGAAAGACCCCTTTAGCGCGACGTCAAGTCCGACTATTAGTCTTTTTAGCTGCCTAAGGCGGCCTCCGATGGGCTTTGTACAGAATTTATAGGGCGCATCATTGGTGGCCATGGGTATGGCATAGCCGTGCACTTAACCCCGCCACGACGCGAATGAACCCCGCACCTTTTGAAGATAGCCAGCCATATGGGCACCCATGACGCGCTCCAATAGAAATCCCATGGCGAGTGGACTGGCAGATCGAAACAATGCGTGTAAACTGCCTCTCCCCGATTATCGACTATAAGCATCCTAGTGGCTGCGACTCCAATGCATTGCTTTATCGCCTACTACTATAAGATACAGCGTCAACTCTCGCCCCCGCTAGTGAGACAGATTTGCTATCGCCCAGCACCAGAAGCGAGCAAGACTTCGACAGTGCGCTTTCGAATTCCCGTTACCGAGTATTTTCCCTGGTCCTGCGGGACAGTTTGCACTTGGACCTACAGATGAGAGTCGAGGTGGTGAGGTTCTTTGCATGGATCAATGGAGTGGAGAGTACTGGGCGAGGATAAGGAGGAGTTGAGAAAGATAATAAAACCTTATGCTTCGGAGGTATATCCCAATGTTGTGCATGGATTGGTTACTGAGACCTATTGCATGGTTTGAATTGCTGGCTGTAAGTCGATATTTCCCAGCAGTATGGCAATCAACAACTGATGAGGTACTAGATTCCAAGCTATGCCCGAGCTCGAGACATTCCTAACGGAAGTCGAGAGGGTGTGATTATCGGTGATACGGCGCATGCTTCGAAGCCGAATGGTGGGCAAGGAGGATCGCTCTCTCTTGAAGATGCTGCTACCCTCGCAATCGCAATCAAGAAAGCAATACCATGAGCAATTTTGGAAATGCTATGCAGATCCTTACTCGACGGGATACTGCTCGGGTTCAGAGAATTGAGTGTGTTGGGAATGCATATGGGGCCGGATGACCCTTTCGCAAGAGAGGGTTGGATGAAAGAGAGTGATCAACTTTACTGGCTATATGGGTATGATACTGAGAATATTGAAGCAATGCTGTAGATGAGGTGAGGAGGAGATTAGATGACTGTTCTACAAACCTTTGTTTGGTTGGCGATGCTGATGCTTAGCGAGAACTTGATTTCGATCGCTCGGGGATATGATGGATATCAAGGCCACTTTGATAACTTTATATGGTTGTCCGATGTTGGGGAGCTAAAAAAAAAAAACACAGACAAGAGCTCAAACCTCACAGTATCACTATCTCAAACGTGCCAACGCACTAAATATCCCACCAGCTTCATCTGAATTTCTTCATTTACTTATCATCTCTACGTAACCGGCTATACTATGAGAAGAGATGAAATACTCCAACCATGCGCAATCCCCTAACACCTATTACCAATCTCTTCGCCCTCAGCCTTCCACGCATGCAAAAAATCAGAGCGAAGATATCTCCCAACCCCAAATCCCCAAAAAACCCAATGTTTCATATATCGCTACCGCCATCTACATCAACCACCACAGCTCAAGCCTATCCCTGAGATTCAATCCTGACGAGCCACCAAAGCTCCACCACCCACCCTGTGCCTCAGCACTTTGCAGAGACCTCGTGATCCAGAATGCAATGCCGCCCAGGATACCGATCTTCAACACCACCCATCCTCTTCGCTTCATCTCCTCATTTAACTTGAGAAGGCCCAGGGGATCGTTGACATCCAGTTCTCCACGCATGTCTCGCTCGCGCTCTCGACGTCGAGTGTATGTCCCTTGCTTCACCAGTGCTCCGGATCCAGAGTCGAATTGTGGAGATGTCAGCTCTTTCCGGGCCTGTGAAACCGGGACAATGGTTCCGTCTTGGACGCATTCGCCAAGTCGTTCGGTGAGCCATACTGCTCGTTCGCTCCTGGCCAGGGCATCGAAGCGAGCTCGCTCATTCTGGAGACTGCGTTGGAGGTCTGCAGCCCAGTTTGCAAGCCGCACTTGCGCGATGCGTTCTTCTCGCTGGGTGTGATCGGTGATTCTTGCCAATGCGTAGGAGGTTGTCGCTCCCACTGGTGCAGTGAGAACTTGAGATGAACAGGAGGAAGAAAGTGGTTGATAGAGGGACTGTGGCTTTGAGACAGGAGTAGAAGAAGCTCGCCATTGGACGAATTTCTTTGCAGCTGAATGTCGCAGCCAGGATATAGTGTCACGGTCGAACATCTGGGTGACCAGTGCTTGGAGTTCGGATTGTATTAATGGCTGGACATAGTCTGGTGACATGAGGAGACTAGCGTCCATAGTGTCGTGGTCCTTAGAAGGTGTCGTCGAAATTGCGTAAGGAGCTGATGGGTACGAAGTATGTTGGGCGAATTCAGGGTTCAGACCAAAGAGGAAGGGCCGAATATTTGCTGCCTGGAGTTCGCTCAAGATGTGCTCTTTGGTTGATGATATTTGCTCCTCGGAGTAAGCCTCGGATCCTGCAAGCAATGGAATTACGTTTGTCAGATGAGAAAGACGTCGGAGATATTCGATATCGACGGGTTTGACTCCTGCTAGTCGTCAGTATGGGATAGAAGAGGATTATTAAGCCCCGCACTGTTTGAAATAATGTATAACACCACATCGACCTGAGATCCACCATTCCCAGAAAGCATATTGACCATCTCTAACTCGCTCAAGCCTTCGAAATTAGACGTTTTCTTGAAATGAGACTCAACGTAGTCGACGACGGGGGTGATACACTCTAAGCACTACGAGCTATTAGCAGAATCATGGGGTGGGGGATCAGATTACTCACTGAAGTTTTATTGCCGTAACCAGGGGTATCAACAAAGCACAAATTCCTCTCCAAAACCGAGTCTCCCATGCTTTTCCGCCTTCGCAGAATTCGGCTCTCTTCTAAACCGGAAAGCCAAGCTGGATATGCCCTCGTACTTGCATAAACTTCAGTGATTTGTGTCGTGGATTGTAGATCCGAACTTCCACTCCTCGATTTTGCCCTTGAACTCTTCCGCTTCGTCTCCGGTGCCGCAATCGGTGTCGCGGATAAGGGGTCGACATGGACAATATCTTCGCAAGTTTGGACAATGGCTTTGATGAGGGAGGTTTTGCCAACACCTGAGACGAGTCAGTCTGGAAACGCGGGGTAATGGCAGGATACACACCAGAATCACCGGCAATCAACACCTTGAGCCTTCCCATATTCTTTCCTCTTTCCGTAAATGGCCTTCTACTTGGCATCTTGATACTCGGCATGACCAGTTGGGGCGCACTCCCACTATCTATTAACTCCGACCCGACATCCCGGTCCTCATCTCCACTCGACACAATGGCCTGACTGGCAATATCATCCATGTACGATCCTGCATCTGAATTTCTGCGAGAGTTCGGACTGCTCATGACCGATGCGGGAGCTGGTGATCCGAAAGAGAGAGGTGTGAAGGGTCTTGATATCGTAGCTTGGGAGGATCGGCGTTGATGCGAGGGAGAGACATTCCCGCTGACATCGCCCGAGGATTTCAAGGATGGAGAGGTCGATTCCGGCAGGCCCTCCTCCGCTCGAGTCGGTGTCTGCTGTCTGAGATGCTTCTTCCAGTTCTGCCTTGCTCGCCGCACCTTCTCCTCCGACTCGTCGCTATCATGAGCCAAAGAGCTTATCGTGGTTTCAAGGCTCTCAACACCGTAAGTGCTGCTCTTGGAGAAATCTCGGTGCTTTGGTAGCATAGTTGGAGAATGGCTCTGGGAAGCTTCCATCGTCTTCTCGTCTGCTATGAAGTAGGTCATCTGCGGAGGTTGGGATCGACTTGCGAGGGGAGTTGTTTCATTATCGGCCGCGCTCCCACTCCGAGAGCGTGCGGTGAAGGCATCGTCACCAGGCAGAGGCCGCATATTGTAAGAGACAGGGCATTCAAGAACAGGGTGTGTGTATTGTGGTCATATCGTGCTCCGATCCTGGTGCAGTCGCCGTGGGAGAATGTTGAGGATATTCAGACCAAGGACGAGGTTGGATCCGCTGTCAGACACGAGGTCATGCTGCCTGTGCTGTACCCCTCATATGCCAGCCACCGCCTATCGTAAGCGGTGCCTGCGGAGAGCTGCCTGACTAAATATAAGGCACTCAGGCGCTTACGTTGCCTTACCTAAGCAACCGCTAAAGTGCTGGCGGTGCGCCGCGGACAATTGAAGCGCCGGCTTGTTGAATTAAGCGCTCATCCAGCCCAATGACAATGCCAGACCAACCCCCATGTTCCTTCATGGGGCCATCGCCTTCTGAGTCAAAAGAGGCAATACGGGGCGACTATCAACCTCGAGCCTGCTCGACGCCTTTTCGCGAAGCACCACCACCCGACCTCACAACGGCTTCATTGTACGGGTCGAAGGCCACGTTAGCAATTCTCGACAAGATCATCACTCCAGCCTCCCTGCTTTTCGACCCCAAGTTCACATCGCGAGAACGTCCTTCACCCCGTCCTCCCTTCCGCACATTTCCGCCTTCGCCCAAATTGCAGCGGCTTTCTGTCTCGGTACCCAGTACTATCAGTCTACAGAACCTCGGCAAGGAGGAACCCACCGCGGCCATGGACAAGAGACATCCGAGTTCGTTCCAGCAGCTGGAGAAGCTGGGCGAGGGTACATATGCTACGGTACGTTTAGATGCGATCACATGGTGGTGAGCCTGGGAGCTATGAGGGGGAAGGCTATATAGATAGCTTCTTGCTCTTCTGATCTTGCTGCCAAAATTGCTGGACTTTGCTGACTCGCCCAGGTTTTCAAAGGCCGGAACCGACAAACGGGAGAGCTGGTAGCGCTGAAGGAAATCCACCTCGATTCGGAAGAAGGCACACCCTCGACCGCAATCCGTGAGATCTCGTTGATGAAGGAACTGAAGCATGAGAACATTGTTAGCCTACACGATGTCATCCACACCGAGAACAAGCTCATGCTGGTCTTCGAATACATGGATAAGGATCTGAAGAAGTATATGGACACACAAGGCGAGCGAGGAGCATTGCCCCCGATCACCATCAAATCTTTCATGCACCAGCTCCTCCAAGGCATTGACTTCTGCCATACGAACCGAGTGCTTCACCGCGACCTAAAGCCCCAAAATCTCCTCATCAACAACAAAGGGCAACTCAAGCTCGCCGATTTCGGTCTTGCCCGAGCCTTCGGAATCCCCGTCAACACCTTCTCCAACGAAGTCGTGACTCTCTGGTACCGTGCCCCCGATGTCCTCCTCGGCTCTCGCACCTACAACACCAGCATCGATATCTGGTCCGCTGGCTGCATTATGGCAGAAATGTACTCAGGCCGTCCGCTCTTTCCCGGCACAACCAACGAAGACCAACTCGTGCGTATCTTCCGCATCATGGGCACACCCTCCGAACGCACCTGGCCCGGCATCTCCCAGTTCTCCGAATACAAGCAGAACTTCCAGATGTACGCTACGCAGGACTTGAGGCAGATCCTCCCACAGATCGATCCCAGCGGTATCGATTTGCTGCAGCGGATGCTGCAGTTGCGCCCCGAGTTGAGGATCAGTGCTCATGATGCGCTGCAGCATCCTTGGTTCAATGATCTGCCTGGTGCTATGAGACCGCCCCAGCATCAAGGAATTCAGATGCCGATGCAGCAGAGGGGATATGCGCAGCAGGGTGTCGTGGCTCAGGGTGGCTATGAGTATTAAGTGATGGCGTTTAGTTTTGGGTTTCTGGTGGGCGATACCTGAGGATGCATGGGTGGCGTTCTATGGTGGACTTTTCGGATGAACGGTCGGTAGTGGGTAATAAGTCTTGCTTTTACTTTGATATTGCATTCATCCTCTACCCTGTAGCTCTACCCTGTAGCTTCGTCTGCATACTGATACATGTGGCAAATGATGAATTTACTCCCTGCGAACCCACCATTAAACTAGAGAAGTCTCTATCGTTGAATATTTTCCCCAGCTTTGAGGCTTCAAATCTCCTTTGCTCGAAGGGTGTAAAGCCGCGTTTTCGGACCTACAGATATCCGCCTGATGAGTGAGGAGGGTACTCGGAACCCAGGACTGAGAAGCCGGAGATATATCAAGGTAGGGGAGGCGGAGTTTTTACCGAAGCTGCAGCTTGTTCGTTGGCAACTTGGCAACCAAAGCTCGTCATCACACAAAGATTGCAGTCTTTGTTGCATATCGTGCTTCCCGTCTCGACTCAGGAATGCTCAGCATTGCTCAGTCGTCACCTCTTTTTTCCCCGCCGAGTCAGTCAGCCCACTGCTCCCCCGTGACCTACAGTCGCTCTCCACAACCTTCGGGCCGTCTTGACTCGCCACCTCTCAACTAGGGGTGGCATAATTATGGATTTGACTAGACCATTATGCATTATAATATGCGGGCCCGTGGCGTAAGGGCTTCCCGAATACGTAAGTCCGAAACCTGAGCAATCCTCAAAAGTTAGGGTTTTTTATATAACTCGAGATTTTCTTCTAGAATAATACCTATATTTGCATTAGCCTAGTAAAATTCTGGTATAAAAGTAGTATATTATGCGTTATATATTTGACTAGACGGTTATTGGATAATTAGGCTAGACTATTAATGTTTAATTATATTATTATCCGCGCATCCCTGCTCTCAACACTTGCTGAATCTGCTCCTGACTTCCGACCCCAGGCCATCCATTTCGGAGGTCTGAAGCAATAATTGGCATTTATTGATTGAAGTTTCTCGCGGGTCCGAGTTCTTACAAAAAAGGTTTGCTGTTTGGCAATCGGGAAGGGTTTCCGGGAGTAGCGAGTCATGTACGCCGGGGAGTAGCCGATGTTCCGCCTCAATCTGTGCGGGGGGGGAGGGGGAAATTTAGACCAAGAATGAAAGGACTAAGGAGTCTGTTGCACGTCGCTGTCCTCGCCAGGGTGTCTCTAGTCGTGGGAGGAGAGAGTGGGGCGAGATGGGAGCGTGACGATGATATTGTTGCTGGCTGAGGTGAGTGGGGGCGAAGGCAACACAAACTTTCCCATAGAACTACCGAAGGAGTAAGATCTTAAGCTCTATTAAAACTTGACTGCGAGTTCTTGGACAACGATACCATTAGGGAAGCAGAGTGAAAACGCCAGAGTCGTTGAGTGTTCAAATGTCTTCAGTATCAAGCTGCCCCTCTCAACCTCGAGTCTGCCCACTGGATGTCACGATTCCAGGATAGATGGCAAAACCTCAGATGAAGTCAAAATTATGGTAGGAATGAGTCAGGTATTGTTGCGTGTCAACCTTGAGCATTTAGCCAAGCTCTTGTGTATCTCCGACTCTCCAAACAATATCGTAACACCTAGACATGGATATCCTCCCATGCCTCGTATCCTTTCCGGACTCGGGAGTCAAGAGCGGCCAAATTTGAATTCTTTGAAGGATTTGTTGCAAGTCTGCACATTTCCCGATTCAGGGATCAGTCCACGATGCTGTTTGTGGTGGAGATGTGGTGGAGACACACGTGATTTAGATCTCAGCATGACCCCCAATCCAAACAAGCTTTTGTAATCTGAGGCTTAGCTGATGGATTGACTGCCAAATACTACCGTTGTGTTGCATATCGCAACTTGCCGACGATTCAGGACCTCGTACGATTTCCCTGAAAGTGGAGATGTAGAGGGAATGTAAGCGCCAAGCAACTTGACTAGCAGGTCCGGAGGATCCTCCCTGACAAATCCCGCCAAGCCATCAGCCACCAACCATCAAACTTGCAGATATCAACTGTAAAATCCAGATAAAAGTAAGGGGTTTGTTGCACATCGCACGAAATTGAGTTTACTCACGGGATGGAACTTGGAAGGGAGTCATGTCCTGTCTCCACAATTTAAGCGCTTACCATTTCCGCTCGCGAATCTCCCTTGCATCTCAGCACGAACCTCTTTGAGCCCGTCCCTCTCAAGACTCAATAATTCCTCCGGAAATCCCCCTTCGTTGCACGTCGCGCGAAATTGATGTTATCACGTACTGTACAGTAGTGCCTAGCTTTGTCCACAACGAGGTTTACCAAGTGCTTAAAGAGTAAGCTCGGCGAACCAACCAAGGCTTTGTTGCACGTCAAAGAAATTAACATTAATCGCGGAAGCGTAGGAGAGGGCCGAGGTGAGACGAGAGACATGACGTCGTGAGATTCGGATTTGGAGTTTACTTGCGTGAGCATGACCCGATTCCTGACTCGAGTCCATTTGAGGTTGCGAGGTCCACAACTTTGACAAGAGACTGGGACGAAGCTTGAACTCTTCTTGAAAGCTTCAAAGGGGCGCGAAAAGATTAGAGAGTTAACTGTTCAGAATTGGAGAATCGTGAAGTCCAAGATTAGATACCTCAACTTAATCCAGAGCTCCCCGACCTTCGCCACCCTCCTCACCCTTCTTCCCAAGCTTTCTCACTTCCCGCTACTCACCAACCAAGCAAAAGCTCATCACGAATCCAGGCCCTCAACGACCGTCAACCCAAATATTTGTTGCACATCGGCCAAAAAGCGCACCTGTCAGGTCCGCCTCCACACCACCCATCAAAACCGCGTCCAAACAACCAATACACACCCCACCCTGGGATCCGTGCCCAACCTTATCAGACCATCTCCCATTTCTCCGGGGCCCGGGCGGCTTGAGCCTCACACTCGAGTCAGTCGCCTGCATCAAGGAAGTGCACGCTGTCCGTTTTACTGCAAAAGGCTCTAATTCGCCTCGACTTCGACTCATGGATTTCAAACTGAGACCACTTTGGTTGATTGACGTTGCGTCTGACCAACCAAGACAGTACGTCAAACATGTCAGGAGTCAAGACACGCTTCCCCCTTCCCCGGTTTCTCGGGCTCGTTTGCAATGAACGGCACGTGCGCAAGACGATGGACCCGATTCCCGGGATGTTTTTCTCCGTCCCGAGATTGGGAAAGCGAGGGGGAGGGGAATAATATCTAGATCTGGCATCGAGCTTTTTTAAACAAGAAAGCTTCTTGACTCAGTTGTGAGAATGGTGGAGGTGTAGTCTTTATTCATGTACTGTTGGCAAGTTCCGCGGTTCACTGGAACTCGCTTCCAGTTATCAATCTGTAATTCCTGAACAAGAGTCTACACAAATTTGATAGAGGGAACTAACTGATCATCAAGAGGTCTCGTCACCCAAACTCACAAATATACCTGCCAAGAACTCTCGACTCATTAACAACCCCTCATGACAAAAATCCACTGACTGCATGACTGTCCCTGACTCGTGTAAGTACTTCCAAGAACACCCCACGCTCGCAGCGCATGAACCTCGGCATTTTTCCCACCCTGACTCGAGCTCTCCGCGCCGTCTACTCCAACATACCCGCGATTTTGCCGACACCAGCTCTTCTTCCTTTCTCAGTCCCGATCGTGACCTGTATCTCTTACGAGATATAGACCAGCCCCCTTGACACGTCCCGTGTCAAGGCTTAAATTGCGACCTGCAACAAAGGAAGAGGAATTGGGAATCTTGGGGCAGAGACGTGGGAAGTGGGGATCGGGAGAGGAGAGAGGGAGGTGAGTAGGGGTGGGGCGAGGGGTTGTGGTGTCGTAACTGGTGCGATGACGAAGGGAAAAAAGGATAAGTGACCGACGGGAGAAGAAACGGAAGTGGTCCCGGGGCGCCGATGTGCAACACTTCTTTTGTTTTGTGGGGGAGGGGGATTTATGGCGAGAAACGGAGAGTGGGAGGAGCGAGGCATGGAACGAAGGCAAGCACCGACGGAACATGATTCGTTGACTTCGGAATAGGTTCAATTTGGACATCCAGGATTTGGAAGATGAAGCTTTCAAGCCCAGCACACCGTGGTAGTATTTCGAGTCTCAAAACAAAGGGGGACCAGAGCCCAGCCAGCTGCCCGCCCTGGAAGGAGTAGGAAATCAACTTTTCCCAACGCCAGCCCCACCCCAAGAAAAAGGCAATGAAGAATTAAACCCCCTATCAAAAGACGGTTCCATATTACCCCTCTTTCACCCCCTCAATAACAGCATACTCCCAACAGGTCCCCATCCTCTCGCACTCCTCGACTACAACCTCGTCATCCCACCACCACTTCTCCCCCTCCACATACCCACCCCACATCTCCTTCCACAGCATCCTGCCCGCGACGCTCTTTAATTCCTGCTTCGTCCTGTCTGCTTCGTCCTCCCCATTAGCCATGTCCGTTCCCACGAAGGCAAAGAATCGCACGTTCACGATCGTGCTTCCTTCGGCCCTTAATCCTGCATCGGCAAGCCAGATCGGGAACAGGCGACTAGGATTGATACACCGAAACTGTCGCTCCAAATTCAGGATAAGATGATTGTCGAGCCATGCTCGTAATCGAGGACCAAGCGTAGCGGGCAAAGGCGACGGGTCGAGGATCGTGAGATGTAAAGTCCCACCTTTTCCTGTTTGTGGTATTGGCTTTATAGGGACAATAGTCGTTGTTGAAGAGCAAGGTGTAGGTTCGGTGGGAGAGGGCGGTGAGGGGGCGGAGACGAGTGTTCGGTGGCATTCTTTGAGGATTAGCGGGAGCGAGGCGGCGGGGAGGAGGGCAGGCAAGCAGAAGGCTTGGATGGAGGTGAAGAGGTTGGAGGTGTAGGGAAGTTGGGAGGTTAGTCCGGGGACAGCGAGGGGGTGGATGTTAGGGTAGGATTTTGGGGAGAGAGGGGTAGGGGAGAGGTGGTGGACTTCTTTTGCTGTTGTGAGGGCGGAGAGGATGGAACATGATGCTGGGACGTGTTAGAAGAGAAGAGGTCCTCGGTGGGTTACGGGAAGTACTGTACCATGATTTTCGTACAGTGACAAGGTTTTCGCAATGCCGGAAGCAGGAACGTTGGTATCCGATTCATGAGTCATGCTCGACTTCTTCTTGAGACTGCGCAATGCAAACAGCATCCACAGCTGCTTCTCCAGCTCTAATTCTCGGTACACAGATGCATCTACGACCTCAACCCATTCTTCCTTGAGGCGTTCGAGGATGATCTTCGGGCTGGCTGCTTCCATCCTTCTGATGTTCCTCTGCAAGAGCTGTAGCTCGACTGGTGGCGGTCTCTGCCGAGGACCATCTCGTCTCTTTTTGTCCGCCTGTCGAAACGGAGGCACAAATAATTCCGGCACTGTGGCCCTTGGTAGTACATCCTCATCATCGAGACATTCCCATATCTCGGGCGGCTTCCACGAATCTTTCTGTCCTCTCGAGGCGGCCGTGAAGCTAGTTGATTGACTCTCTTTTGATGTGACGGACGAAGACCTCTTGGGGAGATTGACGACTGGAACTGGGAAATCAAAAGTAGTAGAAGCGGGTGATCTAAGATGTTAGCCACATCTGCACCTGCGCTTCGTGAACGTACGATCTTGTAGGAGACTCGTGAATTTGTATCGGGATTGTACCAACTGAGGAGATCCGCACGACCGTGGCTAGCTGTTCTACGGCTTTCACGCTGTTGCTTGGGGATATTGTGACTTCTGTACTTTGCGTTACAAATGATATTGGACTCAAGGGCTGAACACTTCTACCGCTGGTGGTTGACTCGACAGAGCTCCACGTGGACTCTGTCTTCCTTGATCGACTTGTCCGCCCTGAAAATACGGATTCCGATACTTCGAATTCATCAGATTAATATACGTAACGCGGAAAGGGCCATACCTTCTGATAGGGCTGACTGGTTATCGGAAAGATATGGACCGTTGAAGAACCCATTGGCAGGGAATCTTGGGGTGCTTGTCGGGTCAGAGAACTCCTGGGTAGATGTGTCTGAAGTAACAGTATAGCTAGAGATTCTTCTTGATGCTTTGGAAGCATCTTGAACTCTCAAGCTGGAAGATTTGGGATGCGATCCAGTTCGGCTCAAAGAAGGTGTTTTGACGCTGCCGAAAATGTTCAAAAGGGACGGCTTGGTTTTGGTGCTTGGAGATTCTGTCGATCCCGATCCCGAGCTATGGATTGAAGATCTTCTTGAAACATTTCTGGCGCTTATCGAGTGCTCTTTTCTGTTCTTTCGCTGGCCAACGGTTTCCCTTGTGGGATCGACCCAAGATACATCAAACATCGCAACAGAACCTGAAGAGGTGCGATCTGCGAAATGAAAGCCAACAGGTGCGAAATAGCTACGAAGGGTGGTCCCAGCAAGGAATAATGAATGATGTGATGAAAAAGACAAACCCCCTCAATTCTGCGTGACAAAAGGAAGGATATATGAGATGTCACCTAGACCATCTCAGCCCACGAGGAACAACCATCATACAAAAGGTAAAACTACCCACCCACATGGCAGCTGGATCTACGGCTGAGAGTGACCTTCTGGTCTAGAGAAAGGGCTCGTCGCCGTGTGTTGGTAGCGTTCCTCTAGTGATCTCAAATCTGGATATTGCAGCTGCACGCTGCCGGCGAACTCGAGACCCAGCCAGTGGCTTTCGATAGCCCGCGAGGCGTGAAACATAATCTTACCGATGAGATGTGACAAAGTGAGATACAGTAGAGGGGTCTTTTGGCAGTGAGAGAAGCAGGGAGAGGGGACTGACCGAGAGCAAAGGGGTGGGGTTGTGCAGCGTGAAGGGCCACCGTTGGGTTGGGGCAAAATCCATGCGGCAGCTAGACCCGCTAGCCTGCGAGCCCCCTTTTGGGCTGGGGGCTGGTGTCTCGACTAAGCCCAATTTGACCAGTAATAGACCTGCCGCAGAACTTCGACCACGTTTCTCCTTCTTCCTCCCATTTCTTCTTTGCTGACAGCCAACGACCAGCGACCAGCGACCAGCGACCTTCGCCGACACTAACACCTGTCTTTCGTCGAAGTATTTCCTCGATGCCGTGAAAACATCGTCGGTCGGTGTGCTCTCTACGGAGTACGAACTCAATACCACCTGCAGCCTGCAGGTCCTCGATGACCTGGATTTGTCCCAAGTCGCACCCCGTTGTCGATCAACGATTACCTGCATTTTTATTCTGCATTTCGAGGCCTTATCTTCGAGATCAAGTATTGTGCGAGGATAGACAGATTATGTTTGGCTAAGTAGGCTTGCACAGCGTCGTACGATCGTCGCCACCAGTCACACAGAATTGACCCACTCGGAAACCTACCGGCGATTTCTCATGGGTCAGCGGTGCATCTACCAAGATGCTTTTTTTTTGCTCTATATTCAACCTTTCCAATCTACGATCCCGGGAGTTCAAAATGTCAAAGCGTAAGCTTGACTCACCGCATCTGGGAGTGTGTTCCAGATCTTCAAAGGCTTGCTTTTGATCTGTCGCAAGGTGGCTGAACCCTATTTCAACACCCTCGCCTCCACAGCTCTGGCAGCGGGTTGGCCCAGAATTTCGCTCGCATATTACCATCCGACAAGTATCCAACTGCTTCCATTTTTAAAACTTCTCGTTCTATCAAGAGGCGCAAGGCCGTGCTCTGTCCTAACCGGCGTAACACACGGGCCGGTGCATCTTCCTAGTTTCAACCCCATCCGCTGACATGCTCCGATGTGTCGTTCATTCTTTCTACCCCTTACTACCGCATATAGAGATAGTGGCTGTCGGTGTCTGGTCTCGTCCGAATCATTGTGGAGGGGCTGCTCCCTTAATTACTTTTTCTTCGGCTGGCAAAACCAATGTCATGTCTGGTCCATCTCCATCGGGCCATGCTTCGCGGTTTTGATTTTCATGTTGTTTGAATTAACCTCTTGCAGCCTTACCCCTATCTCTCGCTCTGTATAACATATCTGTCCATCCCACGTTTTCTCCATGTGGTGCCAAGCAGGATCGACCCTTCATTAAACATGTTCTCAATTAATGAACATGTCAAGACTCTTGACTACAAAGTGTCGAGGTCGACTTTTGGCAGAGTATTTCGACTCGATGGATCTGGTCATGTAAGTCTAAATTGGAGGAAACTGGGACCTGATATTGCTGACGCTCTGCAGCCCAAGGAGCGGAAAGGCTCCAAGTTCTTCACTGAGATTCGGGCTGGGCTTACAACATTCTTTACAATGGCATATATTATAGCAGTCAATGTTGGTGCCAAATTCTCCCTTGTACTAATCTCATTCTGATCTTGCAGGCTTCAATTACAACCCAAAGTGGCGGTACTTGCATGTGCACTGACATCGTCGACAAATCATGCGCGACTGATGTTGCCTACAACGCTTGTTTGATTGGTATGTCCCTTCAGAGCAACTCGATCATTTTGCTCATATCAACAGGTATCAACAGAGATATCATCACTGCAACAGCCGTCATTGCAGGTATTGGCTCTCTCGCATTCGGCTTCTTCACAAACCTCCCGGTAGCCCTAGCGTAAGTTCGGCCCCTGACCCCGCCGAGATTCAAGTCTAAAATCGTGCAGTCCTGGTATGGGCCTTAACGCATACTTCGCATATCAAGTTGTGGGCTATCATGGGACTGGTAATGTTTCGTACAGACTTGCCCTCACCGCAGTGTTTGTGGAAGGGTTTATCTTTATCTTCTTATCCTTGATTGGCATGCGTCAATGGCTTGTCAAAGTGATTCCAGCTTCGGTGAAGGTTGCCAGCGGTGTTGGCATTGGAATGTTCCTGACTGAGATTGGGATGTCATACTCTGGCATCGGACTGATTACTGGTTCTCCAGTCACACCCACTGACATTGCTGGCTGCCCACCGCAATATCTCGACCCAGTCGCGGGAAATTGCAGAAGTCATAAGATGGCCAACCCAACAGTAAGTACTTTTTACCAAGATGCAACCATTTCGCTGACCTTCGAGCAGATGTGGATCGGAATTGTCTGCGGAGGCATGTTGACTGCTTATTTAATGTCTTATCGCGTCAAAGCAGCCATAATCATTGGAATATCAGTTGTTTCCATCTTGTCTTGGCCGTGAGTATGTCAAGGATGTTCTGAATTGTAACTGACACTGTCACAGCCGAGACACTCCTTTCACTTATTTCCCTCACACCTCTTCTGGCGATAGCATGTTCAACTACTTCAAGCAAGTCGTCGCTTTCCACCCCATCCAACACACACTCGCTGCACAAGATTGGAACATCGGCCAAGCCGGGGCCCATTTTGCGCTGGCTCTCTTCACATTTCTTTATGTCGATATAGTCGACGCTACCGCAACTTTATACTCAATGGCCCGCTTCTCCGGCGTCGTCGACCCCGAAACAGGAGATTTCCCGCGCTCCACACTAGCTTACTGTTGCGACGCAATCGCTATCTCCATCGGCTCGCTCTTCGGTTGCTCGCCCGTGACAGCTTTCATCGAGTCCGGCGCCGGTATTACAGAAGGTGGCCGCACCGGCCTCACCGCCATGACAACAGGAACCTGCTTCCTAATCTCCATCTTTTTCGCGCCGATCTTTGCCTCAATCCCTCCTTGGGCCACAGGCTGTACGCTCATTCTGGTCGGATGCATGATGATGCGCCAAGTGACTGCCGTAAACTGGAATTTCATCGGTGACGCAGTCCCAGCATTTGTCACTATCGTCACGATGCCGTACACCTACTCCGTTGCGTACGGCCTCATTGCTGGTCTTTTCACTTACGCGGTTCTTAACGGGATGATATACATCACGAAGGTCGTCACGAGAGGCAAGGTACAGCCTCCCGATGCGGATCTCGCGGAATACTGGACGTATAAACCGGGAGGCAACCCGCCATGGTTTATCAAGGCTGCGCAGGGGAAGTTGTGGAATAAGGGAAGATTCTACAGTATGGATGGTCAGAGCGTGGCGGGGGGGACGGAGGCGAGTGAGAAGGAGTTGGTTGAGGGTCCCGCGATGAGGGTTGCGACCAGGGATACGCATGAAGGTTAAGAAGTAAGGCTCCATTGAGAGCGAATGATGTGGTGTTTCGTGATGAAGGGGAAAACTCCGGGAGAGCTCGGCTTGGTGAGATGTGAGATAGACTTGGGGGCTTATGTGGCGTTGTTTGTTAGTCTAATTTAGTTCTATTCTTGGAAATCATAGTTGTTTTGTTCTTTAATTCTTCGTTCTGTGAGGCAATGATGCGAGAACGGTCTTGATGTTTCATTTGAATTCCCAGGTGGGGAGCAGAATTGAGGATGATTTAACCCCGCCATATTTTCCTCCGCTTCGGACTCCGCACTTCCAAATATTTCCTGTTGAAGACCACATTACACTTTATGCTTCCTGCCTTGTTTCTGTGCTGTATCTTGCACTCGATGAGGGTTCCCATGTACGGGCGATTCACGTCACGTGATAAGCACACAACTTATGGGCGGTGTCTGAGTCTGATTCACTCACAGACTAGGAAACTTGAAAAGTGCACCAAAAACACCGCTGGAGTCAGAAATTACACTGCAACACTACCGAGCGACAACACGTCAGATTCAATCCAACATCAAAATCCAAACCAATGTCAACAAACCAGATTCGCGTGGCAAATTGCATCCTCGAGTCCAGAGAAACAACGACAACGAGAGAATCAAGCAATAGCCCAAAGCAACCTCAAGACGGGAAATCTATTTGTCCTTCTTTTTACGTTTCTACGTTACATTATTGGACTAGGCGAGCTCATCTGCCTGGGTTGGGAAGTTGAAAAGGGGCAATCTCGGTTAATAAAGGGGCTTCCTCCCCACTTTTTAATGACGACGTTGATGAACTTTCAGCCACGGGCTCCTCATCCAAGATGTTACCGAGCCTGTATCCCAAATACGAGTAAATATAATGTGATGCCGAAAAAGTCAATCTTCAGTGCTTCACGAGATTCTCAAACCTCAATAAAGAGCGCAAAACAAACCAGACTTACACCATCCAGTGCTGCAACCCAACCTCAGTCTTCTCCAAGACATACAGGAAGTAGTTAGCTGTCAGGCAGCAATGTGATGTCAAATCATAAACATTAAGCATCCACGAAATTTTCAGCCTATCATACGACTAGCAACCAGAGCTGAAATTCAAAAACTTCATTTGCTACCGATCTGTTCAAGTGAGTTCGGCGAAGGATTGATTGCCCAACGACTTGTATCCTTATCTATGCCCGGCAGCTACAGCACCATTGCTGTGGCCGAAATCGTAAGCAACCAACCCTTTGTCTGCTTCTTCGTCTGATGCAGCGGTGAAGTTGGGAGGATTGAGATGTTGCGAATTGCGACGAGCAGCGACGTTTCTGGAAGTGGTCAGTTACTGAGTTTAGGGGGAGATTTTGCAGGTGAGCATATAATCTTACTCTTGCTAGCGCGGGGCTAATAACGAATGGCAACGAAACTGCGGCGAGAATGAATTCATTCCGAAGTCTTGACAGACTTTGAGGACCTCAAGATTGGAGCCTGGACGATCAGTGTGTCAAAAAAGTAATCAAGGTATTCCGAATATTCATGAATATTCATGATTAGCTTGAATAGAATATAATTACTGCAATGCTTAAATAATTTGATTAGATTAGAATATATAATCATGAATATTCATGAATACTTTGATTACTCTACACGTGACCATGGCACGTGATACTCTAGCCTAATTAAGTAGAGATCCCGCTCTAGTGTCTCCTTAGCGCCACCTCGCTGCCTAATTAGTGGGTCGAAAGCCTTGCAAAGACGATGCTAGATCGGGAGCCATACCTAATTAGGTTAGTATATCACGTGAGACAGTCACGTGTATAGTAATCAAAGTATTCATGAATATTCATGATTACCTCAATTAGAATCTGATTAGAATATAATTAGTGGGTATTTTTGATGAATAAATTAGATTACTAGCCAGTATTCTAATCTAATCTATTCATTTGACACACTGTGGACGATGATGCTATCGGAGATGGAGGGCATTGAGGAAATGCTGTGGGAGATGTTAGACTTGGGCGAGGTCGAAGGGAGAGCGAATGCTGTGAAGTTGAGAGAGGTGGGCTATATTTTGGTTTCACCCTGTAAATTTATACGTGTGTTGCATGAAAACACGTCCTTGTGATCGTCAAGTGGGGTTTTGATAACTTTAATTTCCTCGGACTTTACGGCACAGATGGACCCGTACCACGGTACCAAAACTTACCTTAAATTCGCTGATCAACCTGATGCCAGGTGATTACTTCGCTAGACTCATTTCCAAACAGTGTTGCAGTCTGACAGGACAGGTATCGAAATAAAAGGGCTCGCTTGCTTTTCTCGTTCCAAGAAACAATCTCACTTCCCACTCTCTTCATCCACTTCCATCTCATCCAACTCCTGATATTCTTTTACATTCTCCAACGCAAGTTCCCACTGTTTCTCCGACCCCACGACCACCCTCGGCGGTTTCCATTCCTTCACCTGCCCCGCCCTCGCCTCAATATTCCACCGTATTGTGGCAAGCAGTCCCATGAGTGGAGGGTACGTCTCAATCTCCTTCCTCTCAATGACCTTCAAGGGCTTAATATCCGGGATCCACCTCCCCGGGCTGCCCGTGCTCCCGCTCCACCAATAATACTCTATCCTCGAACTCTTTTCTCTAACCTTCAGTTCCTCCAGCTCCCCAAAGTTGCTGCATATCAGCTTGAAGTGATGTGGTTGCATGCGCTGCTCGAGGGTAATAGCCAGTGTGCGTATGCGATCTGCTTCCAGTGTACTTCCATTAAACTTCGTATTGAGTTTCGAGAATGCTTCGAGAGCTTCAAAATCTCCAAATTCCAGTGTATCCCGTTCGAAGTCGAAGTAGACGGGTCTCGAGAGATCGACTAATAAGGCGACTTTGAACCGTTTGAGCGCTTCTATTCGTGAATCGTAGCACGCGTGAAGGATACCCGGGATCGTGTGTTCGAGCCGGTAGATGCTGGTGTGGTACCACCTAATGTATTCGTGGTATGTGCGTGAAGTGTAGCGGATGACTCGTGGCTCGGGGATGGCGAACTCCCAGATCATGAGGCGGAGTTCAGCTGGAAGGAGGGAGAATTTTGGGAATGTTGTTGCGTGGCGCATGGTGTGGGTTGAGACTTGTTGTGGCTGTTTAGGTGATCGAAGGAACGAGAGCATTGCCCTTCGGTTGGCAGATGGAGGTAATCGATGCGATTATTCTTTGGTCGGTTGCTTGATCGATGGGGGAGGTATCGCAGTGGACCTCAAGTCGCAGACCGATCTTGGGAACGAATGTGACTGATTTATTTTAGCGATGATAGTTTCAACGAGCGACGACAAATATACTTGTATGGTTGAAGTGATGAGTGCGAGAGGTGTCGCTTTGTAGTCTTGACCTATTCAGTGGCTGATGTTCGAAGAAGGAGCGATGAAGGCAGAGGCGATCTCGAATCTCGAGTCTCAACGTTCCAGTCAGTGAAAGTGAACCAGGAACAGCTGGATTCAAAGGTGTTGACTAGAAATTTCAAAACGAACCACGAATCTCAGAATATCCACATCCAACCATCACAAAGAGCGCCAACTTGGGACTGCAGTTTCTACGTGTGGCTTTTTCAGAACGTTCACGGGCTCTTGCGCCTTCAAATTACCCATTGCGGGATGCCCAAATTATCTTTCTCTGTCTCTCAAGCTTAACTCAAGATCCAGACGTGAAAATGAGGCTTCTCTGATCTCGACTGCATTGCGGAGTTGCCTCGCTATTGTACAAGAGGCATGTCTCTAGTCGTGACTGCAATCTGGACCGTGGAGTGAGCCCTGTGCTTTCCTCCAAAGGCTGCATTGAAGGCTCAAAGCGGTTGTGAAAAGAAGCTTTCACCCGGCTGGTTGTGATGATGTTTTGAAAGGTATTCGTCGCGATCTGCGAAGCGAATGCGAATAGGGGAGAGCAGACTTACGGATGATGATGACGATGAACGGACTTAAGTGAATTAAGTCCTGGGAAGCATAAAGGATAGTTGGGATGGTGTATTTGACCTTATAAGGCTGCGAGGTTCCATCGCTGCTGCCTTGGATGCAGGTGAGTCAATCGTGCAGGTGGCTGCAGGTCACGTGAAGCAAAAAAAAACGTGACCGTTCCCCCTTTCCCTGGAAAGCAAGGTTTTCATCCTTAACGCGAGAACGGGACCACTATCACCACGCAGACCCCAGGTAATCTCTCTGTACAGTTCTTTATCGCCGCTATCACTCCTCCGCTTCCAACCCCCACCGAAGGCCCCAATCTCACCAACAGCCAATTCTGCTTGAACGGCAAAATGACATTTATACTTCCACGTCCTCGTCAACCAATAAGTTCTGATAACTAACGGTGCGTGAGTTTGCTATCGCCAAGAATTGGGTCGAGCCATTTGATGTAACAGCAAAGGAAGAATTTAAATCTTGAAAGTTTGAGAATAAACGTGAACAGGCCAACCCACATGGGAATGTTCTCATGACATTTTCCATTTCCGTCTTCGGATATGAGCAGCTGCTACTTTGGCCTGAGCTATGGGTGAGCAAGCTTCAGCCAAATAAAGAGCTATTTTAGTATCCGCAGGAGCTTGTTTTGGCTCCCTTAAGGCACGGTCACACTTTCCTCGCCGTGTCTCTACGGGTAAGTCCCGTTATAGCCCCAACAGGAATTATTCCGGAACTGTTTCTGGATCCATATTCGCTTATGTACATGTAGTAAAGGCCAGGGTTCGGTGGAGTTCTAAAAATGTTAATCAAAGAACTTCTCAAGTTCTTGTATAACCCCGGGTTAATAGAGAAGACGGAAGAGAGTACTAATCAAATTCTTTCAGTCCCATAATGAGGCTGTATTTAAAATTTCCCAAAATTTCGCTTCCTAGTAAGTCTAGGGGCATTTAGGGCGTTTGGCCTCTAACATGCCGCTCCTTCTGCCCAATCGAATGAACCCTAGCTTGCTGGACCTGGGCCAAGACATATTAGCCAATTAAAAGGATGCCGTTCGTCTCTTATAAAGATGTGTTGAGATATTTCGTACACTTTTTAACTCGCGTGTGCCGACGACGGGTCAAGAGTCTGCAAGACATGGGTAAGAATACTTGGCCTCTAACGTGGCACATTTAATTGGTCATCCCATGGCCTTCTCATTACTTGAACTTACGGAAGTATCGAGCCGGATTAGAATTTGAATGGATTCAAAATCGAAGTTGTTAACAGAAAATCCTCGAGCCCTTTTCAAATCGGCTAAGAGGTCGTTTCGGTCATATCATGGGCGCGTGACTAGGCTGCACAAAAGTCGCTGGCTTTGCATGGCCTGGGAAAGAAACGTCTCGGTCCTTGGCGGGCAGCTTCCTAAACTTTACGGGCAATATTATAAGAGCATTCTCAGATGGACACACACGTCTAATAGCACATGTAGAAGCATAACGTCACATGATATTGTATATACAATTTCAGATAATGAAGGTGGGACTGCTGTTACTAGGGTGTACTCGCAATTCTTTTGCCTGGGGTCATTCCACGCTCAGACCAGAGATTCGCCTTGATTTGTTCCAGTGTCTCGGTTGCTTCTCTTGTGCCATGGCAACCATCCGTCAAGCCTGCCTTTCTTCCGCATTCTTGGCCCATCTGAGATATTATGCTGCTCTATCTCGTCGCGCTCACCAGATGAAGACGATGCGCCGCTCGTCTGATCATGGGGGATTCTAGAGTTGGGCACTTGCTCTCTTGCGGCTTTGTCTAGGCTGCGCCCGGTTCTCTCAAAGGCTTTTTGCCAAATTAGCCACATTGCCACGGTGAGGATGGTAAGAGGTATAGTGAGCGCCCAGTAGAACCAGAATCGAGATTTAGGCACATCCCGCCATGACTCTGCATCCCAATTGAACAAAGGGATCGCGAACAGGGTGCTGATAAAAGTTCCTGGAAGAATGACCATTGTCAGGAGTGCAATGGATTTCATGCTGAGGAAAATGTTAGAATTTGTATGTTGGCTCAGACTTAATAAAGTCCATAAATAGGGAAACTCACGCAGAACTGTCACGTTTGCTTGCAACTGCAATGCTCTTAGAATCTCTAGCCAACTCGATATTCTGTTGCACATCTCTCTGTGCGATCAAGTTATATACCTGGAAGCCAAACTCAAATTAGCCACTTCATATGTTCGGAGAGATAGCCTGGACGAACGTTTTGATTTTGAACTACACACATATCCCTTAAATAATCGATATAGATGAGATCATGGGCGATTTGGCATTTAGTTGAATTCAAAAGTGCTGAGAAGACTTCCCAATTCGTCGCAGAAGCCGGAGAGGATCCGGGGCCTTTAACCAGTTTTGACCGGGAAGCCGATTGTTCAATGAACTCGCACAAATACAAGTATGATTTGAATAAAGTACGACACCAAATGATCATCTGGCTAATTCTGCTTACTTCGAGACTTACTTGGTCGTAATCGAGAGGGCCTTGCGAGCTCTGGTCATCAAGGTCCAGGCCACCTATATGTCCGGTTTGCCTTTGGACTGCCGCGATATCGGCCTGAGCTGTACTTAACCATTTAGGAACTAACATATATATAGCTTCTAAGAGAACGATACCGAGCACGAGCGGTTCGCTGACAAGATGGCGTAAGCTCTTAAGTACTCGTAGATAATGGCCAAGTAGAGTTCGGTTGCATATACGAAGTATGCCGTAGGTAGTTCTCGTAGTGCTCTTCCATGAGAACCCGAGTTGGGTTTCTGTCTGTGCCTCTGCAATAGGTGCAATAATGTACCCTAGAATCTTTTAGTATGGCAATGAGAAGATTGTGATATTAGGCATATTTGTACCGAGGTCTAGGTCCGATCCTCTACCAGCAAGCTCCTGCTTAGATAACACAGTAAGACGACCACGACTCATGGTACTTGTCTACAGAAATGCAGAGGGTAACCTAAAATCTAACATTATTGCCAGTAAGTTCTCCTTGTCCCAAGACCAAGTTTTGAACCAGCCTGGCTTATGTGTTCTACTTTCTATGCTACTTCGGGATCAGTATTTTCGTCTCTTCATTGCTATTCTTTTAACATCGGTCAAGGATTATCAAATAACGAATAATTTGCTTAGGGAATATACTTACCACAGGCGCATTCCATTGATAGGGACCATTTGTTGCCCATCCTTCACTAACCCCGGAGCCTCTTTACTTACCCACATCTTGATTTCGGTCTGTTCAAGTGAGCCTTCTAGAATTCGTGAGTCACCGTCCTGTTTGTTTTTTAAGTTAGAATAGTTTTTGAAACAGTTGAACTCGTCTTACTGGATAGTTCCAGATCTCTATGAATGAGATTGGAGCCGGCTCGAACTCAATCGGATTTCCAGAGAATGCTGCCTCACTCTCCATGTACCATTCCAGATTTCGAGGGTAATTGTCCATATTTAAAGACTTCGACCTTTTTTTCCAGCTTATAATAGAGAGTGAAGCCGAGATTATGTGGCTCAGCCTTGAGCACCAGGCTCGTCCTTAGAGCCAATAAGCGCGGTTCTGTGTCTGCGAAATATTGTGGCCTTTGTATAGGCAGAGACTACTATGATGCTCCAGAGTCCGGGTGTGATTAATCATAAGACAGTTCGAGGAGAGGAGGAAGGAGTTGTTGGAAACGTATCGAGGCTGCGATAAGAAGAACGAGCCTAAGCGCGCTAACTGTTGCACGACCTATTTTTGGATCATGCAGCATGCGCCTCGACTTGTCAGGTGCCCCAACCGATGAGAATGATTTGTCTTGCGAAAGTAAAAAATTTGATTCGCTGCTGCTATCCTAGTACACCAAGAAAGGTTTGGAGGCTCTACGTGACCAGCACCACGTGATGTCTGGATTGATGCCTAATAAGTTGGACAGGAGAGGGTGCACGCTGTGTCATGGACAGCACTGTGGCAAATAAGCACGCTATGAAGTTTTTGGCCGAATCTCAAGCCATCCCACCTTTGGCTGAGAGTGCGAGAGACATTTTCTCACGCCAAGGAGTGAAGAAACATTGGTCGCAATCAGACTTGCTTCGATGACCTTTTTTTATTTATCGAACTTGGTTAGTTTAAGAGACGGTAGTTGCTCGTGAGATAGAAGTGATGTGCGGAAGGTGGCGCTTTCCATGGTCAGCTTTTGAATCGATCGAGACTACATACGCAGCGCATGGATCTGATATTTACTCCGAGACTCCCAGTCTCCAGAGGACTCAATCTGAAGATCAAGACTCACTATAATATTAGCAATTAGAAGATAAGTGAAAAGATAGGAGAGGAGAAGAGAGAGAGGATAGGGAAAAAGTTGCTTGCAAAGGCGAGAGTAGATGCAATTTTTAGAATATAAAGACAAAATCTCCCGTGGTATAACACTTATTCCGGTCTTCTTCGAGCCTCTTCCAAGTTGCAGAGGACAGCAAACAGAAAGGGAAGGCAGGCCACTTCCTCTCCTTCCTAGACAAATTCTCCCCCGCAACCTCACGTTCGAAAGGAAACCTCATCCCATAATTTTCAAGCACCAACACCACTCATACTTCATACATGTCAGACTC